CCCCCCCCCCAGGATGCTGTGACCAGCCCGGGATGCTGTGACACCCCCAGGATGCTGTAATCATCCTGGGATGCTCTGATCAGCCCGGGATGCTGTGATCATCCTGGGATGCTCTGACCAGCCTGGGATGCTGTGACACCCCCAGGATGCTGTGACCAGTCTGGGATGCTCTGACACCCCCAGGATGCTCTGACCAGCCTGGGATGCTGTGACACCCCCAGGATGCTGTGACCAGCCAGGGATGGTGGGTCCAGCCCAGCTCTAAGACACCGAGACATCAGTGTCTATCCCAGAACAAAATTCCTTAGGGTTGAAGAGCCCCTGGTAGGTCATTTGTTCCACGCAGTAATGATCTCTAAGTGAAAAGCCATTTCTGATACCGGTGTCTGAACCACCCTGCCTTCAATTTCAGATAATGCCTTTGGGCTTTGTCCTTATTGCATATTTTGAACAGATTTCTACCTGCTGCTTGTAGAAAAAGAACCCCCTCAGGTATTTGTCAACCAGAATTAGGTCTTCTTGCAACCTCCTTTCCTAACCTGCACATACCCTGTTCTTGAAATGTTTCCCTGTAAGACACTCTTTTCATAGTCCTTGTATCTCCTGTATCTGTTAAATTAAGAACTAATTAGTGTATTCCCTTTATTTCTCAGAAGCCTATTGATAGCGAGAGGGTCAAGTCCCAGGCACAGTCCCTAAAGTGTTTTCTGACCTGAAACGAGGGTCAAACCCACAAATAATCCCCTTAACTTTGCAGGTATAAATAGAGATGATTGTCTACACACTTCACAGCTGATTTCAGTGCAAGAGCTGAAATCTGTCTCATGCTGTGCTACAAGGCAAAACCATTGGCCCTAGGCAATAGAATTTATTGGATGTTTGCTTGAATTTTCTGCTCTGTTTTCAGAAAAGCAGTTTTATTTCCTATTGGTTTTGGGGCAATGCTTTCATGTGGAGGAGAAACCACGCTCTTCCCGTGGTGACAAAGTGACCAGATGAGCAAACTTAGTGGTGGTGTTGGAGTGTTTGTTCTTGTGCTCTTGTTTTGCTGTGAAGGTTGGGGCAGAGCAGGAATTGGTCACAGGGCATAAAGAATACCTCAGTGTGGTCTGGAACAGCTTATCTTCTGGATTTTTGGAGAAAAAGACTCTCAATCACTCTTTAAAGGTGCAGAATTCCAACCTCCCCTGATTTAACAATAAACACTTGTCTTTATGAGGTATTATCTCCTGCCTCAAAGTACTTGGAACTTTAATTCAATATCACATTTAATTCAATATCATATGAAATAGCAGTGTAATGTAAAATATTTAGTGTAAGGTTAAGTAGCAGTACTTAAACATTCTGCATTTATTTGTGCAAAAGTTGCCACCAGAGCCTTCAGAAAGGTATTTAAGTGCTTTCAGTCATTCCCTATCCTTAAAAAGAAGTATTTAAGCATCCTGCTGACTTTCTTTGAGTAGTGTGGAAAATGGTTCTACATCCATGCTTAAAATACCTGAGTACTTTAAAATATTTTATTTTAAATATTAAGTATTTTCAATTATTTTATTATTAAAATGCCTGAGTTTACCTGAGTGGCAAAATAAATTAAATTTACTTCTTGTGTGAATTGTCACTGTGGCCATGGACTTGCTGGGAAGTGTCTTGTTTAACCCTTTCTGGGAAATAATGGAAGGAACAGAATCATTTAAGGCTCAGGAACCAGCAAATAAAAAAAGCTCTCCTGAGCAAGTGTTCTCTAAATTTATTGACTATCAACCAGCACAACAGATGTGGCTGTGTGCAGTAAAAGTCTCTCTTAAATTATTGAACACAACAAATCAGATCAACACCAAAGAAAGCTTTTACCAGTGGCAGATATGTGCTTTACAAAACATAATGTTATTAAATGGTTCAATTGACTGTCTTTTTATTTTTTTTTTAAGGCTGTGTGCAAACCCAGTGTATTTTTTTTTGTCAATCATTTATCTGAAATGCTGGTTTTATTTACATAGTGGGGATGATAGAAATTTGAGAGCAAGTGTATTCATTAAAATGTTTATTACTGGGTTTCAGCATCATTAATTTTAGGAAGAGAAAATGCTGTTAAGGGTTCAGACATGTTGGTGGCCACTGAACACTTTTCCCTTTTCTGGTAGTTCCCCTACTACCTAACACAAAATTGGCATTTCTTCTTTGTAATATCACCAACCAAAGTTAAAAAATAAAACCAAAGATTCCCATTTTTAGAAATATTTTTTGTTTTGTTGGAGTAAAAGCATCACTGTGAATTTAAACCATGCCAAGATTTTTTTTTTTTTCTCAGACTTCCTTTTTTATTTAATTTTTTTTTTTTTTTTAATGAGAGAGGAAGTTGTTCAGGGCAGGGATGGGCTGGATGCAGGAGGTGGGGTGGTCCTGTTGGCATCTCTGATATCCAGGGGTGAGGTTTCATGGTCACAGAGGCAGCTGGGGCTCTTGGAAAGTTGTGAAACCCACCAGGGCCCAGTGGAGAGTAAATAAAAACCCTTTTCTGAAAGGGTCCCTGCAGTTCTGCCATGAACATGGAATTTCTGTGCATGAGACACAACCACCAGAGTGGAATTAACTCCTTGAAGAACTTGAGATGGTTTCAGGATGGGTTTGTTCCTGCTGGAGGAGTCACAGGGGTCTCTGTACAGAGATTTCCAGAGCAAAGGACCTGCCTGAATTCCCCCAGAAACCCAAAGACAACATTAAGGGTGGTGTGGTTTGGAGAGGTGCCTTTGGGGAAAAAAAAAACAACAAACCCAAGGAGAAAAAAAGATGAATATATGTGTTGTAGAAGGTGACAGAAGATTTGATGGAATCCCATTTTGTCTTTATTGGTCAGACTGGCACTTGTCCAGGGTAGCAAGGTTGAGTTATTGCAATCCTGAGCTGATTGTTAGCACAGTTCATCCTCAGGAGGAGATTGGATTGAGGAGAACCGAGTGCTGGTGCCTTCCAAGGGGGGCTGCTCTCGTGTCACCCTCCCAAAAAGACATTTCTGGGAGCTGCTGCTCCCCCTGGCTCAGCTTTCACTGCAAAAACTGCATTTCTGGGCACTGAGGATGAGCTGGTTCCGTGTGCCTGAAGCTGGGTAGCACCACTTTGGCTTTTTGGGAAATCTCTGGGGTGTTAGGAGCTTATACAGAAATATTAAAATCACATTTATTGAGGATTTCTGCAATTTTCCTTTTTTTTTTCTGGTAGTGTCTGTATTTTTTTTTTCAGTCCCTCTTAGAAGATTCTAAATTTCAGTGGCTGCTTCAGCAGGCAAAACATTCAGATTCCATGAAAAAACAGCAGCAAGCTGAATGTCCTTTGACAGCTGGGAGAAATTAGCAGAGTACCAGTTAAAGCCTTGTTTGTAGGGGGGGAAAAAAAGTTATTTAAGGTTAAATCTGTCAAGAAATAAAATAAATCCACAAGTCTCACCTGGGCACCAAGAAACTCAACAAATTTAGGAGCAGGGGAAATTTTTTTTCTTTAATAAAGGAGAGAAGATTAAAATAAAATTATTATTATTAAGAGTGACTGGAAACTCTGTGGTTTTCAAACCAGACACAGTAATAAAAAGAAATCTGATTGCACAGGAGTTCTTTTTGAATTTTGTACATAAACCTTAAAGAGTTAATTGTTGCAAGGAAAATGTTGTCTGAGAAGCTTTAACTTTAAAAAATACCCTGAGATACATTTAAAATCTCCTCTTCTAAACAGTATTTTTATTTATCTAAAATATTCAGGTTTTTAACCCACTATG